TATGGCATTGTGGATTTTTTATACTAATTGAGAGGAGCCTAAACCTTGTTAGAAGGAAATTAAAGAAATGTACATCTTATGCTTTTCAAATCCCTTTCTCTTGACATGTGATAGTCTTTTTAGTATGTAGCAACATTTATTTGGCAAAATAGGGGGCTAACCTTGTGCAATGCCATACAAAGGTTAAGCCAATCTATACAGCACTAAAGTATACTGAATTCACCAAAACCAATAGCCCTAGTAGTCTGTTATGTGTGATGGTTGGAAAATCTTCTTTTGCTTAGTGCGTCTCCGAATTTTTCCTCTTATACTTTTGTCACGTGAGATGGCTGATGATGTTTGATGATCTTAGGATAAGTTGGTGAATTGCTAATGGAAGAACACTTGGTTTTGTGTGTTGATCGTCTCATCACACCTGAATCTTTGCACTCGCTGCCAAGGTCCGAGGATGCAGAATCCTCTGTTGGCAGATCTTGCTCTCAGGTAGTTGGTACGTCCTCAGTTATTGATGCTAATGACAACGAACATCTAGGAGTTGGAGGTGAAGAAGAGCCATTACTTCAGAATGTGGAATGCCGGATTTGCCAGGAAGAAGATAGTGTGAAAAATTTGGAGGTTCCTTGTCGTTGCAGTGGCAGCTTGAAGGTATCTTTATGAAGTTGGTAAACTTTTATGCTCTTCTTGTTCAATGAGCTTGTTTGCTGCAATTACCTACTAAAGCTGAAAAATGTTTTGTTGTCAGCAATTCATAAAATGTATTTGTATACCAAACTTTTATAGTTCTTTACATTCTCTTTGATTTGCCTTAGAATTTAAAGTCTGGGAGCCATAGAATAGATGAGTTTATTTTATCTCTCTGTGATGCAATGTCCAACAACTATTTTTTTGTACTTATATGAGCTTTTATTGGTAGCCTAACTATTCTTTCTTCATTTCTCATCTACTTCGTTGTTGCAAAATCCAGTACGCTCATAGAAAATGTGTCCAGCGATGGTGCGATGAAAAGGGAGATATAACTTGTGAGATTTGCCATCAGGTATTTCAATGCATAGTCTATTTACCTCGTTCCATTGAGTATGATAATTACCTTTTGCCTCTTCCCTTCCCAAAACATGTTAAGATGATTGAGCCAGAAAAGAGTGAGGGAAGGTGAGATAGTGAGATGTCATAATTGACTCTGTACTAGCCGAGAGTATAGACAACCGTATTTATTTGATGTGTGCCTGCACTTTCCTTCCTCAATACTCTTTCCTGGCTAGAAGGAGTGTCACGAATTCCTATGCAGCAATTCAGCTGTATATTCATTTTCTTACTTCAGAAATATAGGACATTGATACTTTAGAATCACAAATTTGGATAATACTTACTGAAGGAGTTTGTAGTTCAAGTACACGAATTTTTTTCTATCTAGCTGGCAGGCTTACGAAACTTAGAAATTTTTCTGTCTAACCTGCAGCCTTATCAACCTGGCTATACTGCTCCCCCACCGCCTCCCCAATCTGAAGATACAGCCATTGACATTAGGTATGTTCAAGTCATAACTATTTTCTCATCTGTGTACCAAAGTTTATACCATTCAGTCATTCCCCTTAAACTAACTAGAGAGTATTGACACTGTGCGGATTTTGGTAATTACAGCACAAAATATGTGATATATAGTTTTTTTTTTTTTTACTGTGGGATGCCTTTTCTCCCCTTTTCCCAGAAAAAAAAAAAAA